CTGGATCACTGAGAACGAAAATGATGCTTAAAATTGTTGATTGGCTCTAGTTTTCAAGATATGCTATTGGGTCAGTATATACGACCCTTGACTTGGGAATGGCGGAGGATAAGTGAGTTATAAAGGGAAGGGATCTCAATTTAAACCAGAAATGATTAAAATACATCTTTGACTGGATCTATGAATAAATCTGTGACTGGGTTTGGACAGTACTTGCTTTTTAGGCAAAACAATGAATGATGCACAGCTAAAATGCCCACTTCATTTTTATTGAAAACTGCCCACGGATAACTAGGCAGAGAACTCCCGCTCTCTAAACCCTTTTGTGCAATTATTTGTATGCAAAATGTTGCCTTCAGAATTCAGTGACTATGACTCCATCCCCATATTGGCAGAAGTCAGCTCTAGAAGAAGCTACAAACCAGGTTCAATGGAAAGCCAAAATTTCAAGGGGTTTTCCCAGCAAGAGCTGAACCATCCATACCTCCTGAGTCTGCATCATTGGGTTGGAAATCTTAGTAGCACAGGCTCTCGACAAAAAATTCTCCTCTCAAGCATGCCAGCATAGATCAGGAGGAACTCCACTGAAGGCAGGGTTGGAAATCTTAGTAGCACAGGCTCTCGACAAAAAATTCTCCTCTCAGGCATGCCAGCATAGATCAGGAGGAACTCCACTGAAGGCACGAGTCAGTTGGGCTGAGGTAGGGTTGCCAAGTTGGGTTGGTTGCAGCTGGCTGCAGGAGGAATCACATGCTGCCTAAAACCGGCCCATTGGGCTATTCATCCAGCCCTGCCCTCTCTCTAGCTGCAGGCCAGAACAGGCAGCCAGAGCGTGCAGATGGCAGCTGGAGAGAGAGCCGGGGAAAGGCAGCTCTCCTTGGGCAAGGCCGCCTGCATCCTCACCGGGGCATCCCGGGGCTTCGGCCGGAGCCTGGCTCTGCTGCTGGCCCCGCGGCTGGAGACTGGCTCCGTCCTGATCCCGGTGGCCCGATCCCAGGGGGGCTTGGCCGAGCTAGAGGCTGAGCTGCGGTCCAGTTTTCCCAGCTTGAAAGTGCATTCTGTGCAGGCTGATCTGAGCACGGAGGACGGGCTACAGCTGGTGCTCCGAGCAGTCCAGGACAAGCTGCCGGGAGCGGCTGATCTGGAGCGACTCCTCGTCATCAACAACGCGGGATCACTTGGAGACATTTCCAAATCCTTTCTGGATTGCCCCAGCCCAGCCGAAGTCAACAGCTACTTTGCCTTCAATGTCACCTCGGCGCTCTGCCATCACATCCTCCATCCTGAAGGCCTTCCCGGGGCACCCTGGCTTGTGCAAGACTGTCGTGCACAT